AGTACAGGTCCATTTACCATGTAGTAAAATGATATAAAATATAATTCTTAATGTTTCAAGTATCCACAAGGGTTTTTAAAGGCATCACCATACAACTGGCACTAGGACTGTCTACATCAGTGGTTCAAAACCTGGTCAGGGGATTGGGACCCCAAGTGTTTTATCATTATCAGATAAATGATTAACAGGATAGAAAAGCAAAAAAATATATATTTCTGTCCTAATGCAGACTTTACTGAGAATGTGACCTCCTAATGCTGCCAAGAAAACTATAAATGAATCTCAGAATTAAATTGTTCTTTGGTGAACAACTTGTAGACTTTGTTTTGTTCTAAGTGGTCACAAGACAAAACGTTAAGAAACCACAGCTCTTCTTTACAAAATGATAATTGTTATAAAGTGGTGAGCAAATGGAAAAATAGTGCAGAGCCAGTTTAGGTCTGTTCCTAGGCCCTCATCTATGTTGGATGTGTTTCAGATAGAACAGAAACACTTCCATTCAGCAGTCTAGCTGTCTACACCGGCATAACTGTGACCAGGGCCATCTTTTTATGCTTTCTTTCTGTGAGCTCCGCCAAACACCACTGTGCCGCTAGTGAAGACATGCTGCATATGGTCATCTCTCGTGTGCTTAGCAGAACACATGTAAAATACCTTTCGTTCAGCAAATAAAATGTTTCAATCTGAGCTGTTAGGCTATAATTGTCATATAGTATAAATAATGTAACTACAGTAAGAACAGCAAGATCTACATGTGTCTTTGCAGACAGTTGTCACAGTAACTTTTCTGTCTTCACTGGGTTTTTCGACGGTGACATCTTTTAACAGATATATTCATAGTGATCTACTCCAGCTGCAAATGCCACAAGTCGATTCTCTTCAATTGTTTGAGGCTTTATAACAGGTAACAAATAAATTATTAGTATCTGAATTTGACTCAGCTCAATACAATACAAACACAGTCCTGTGTTTAACCACTATAACATGATTGGTAACCCTCCCACTAACAATAGCACTATGGTAGAACACGAGGTGCTGGAAATGAAAGATAAAATACCAACTCTAATCTGAAGGCTCATCAAAAACTGGAATGCCACATAGCACTTTCTGTCCTGGTGCTCCTTTGAGGCTGGACTTGACACCACTAGAAGTCTAATTTCTTCCCTCCTCTCAATCAGCACATTGCTACATTTTACACTCTGTTCTACCTGGTCTGGTCCCTTGCACGTATTTGATTTGCCAATAGCACTGCAGTGCAGGAAGCGTTGTGTCATTGTAATGTATGAATGAATGAGGAAGCCTGCATTCATTTTTGTCACAGAGTTATTGTGGATGTGAAAGCCTCACTTCTACATGGTAACATCTACTGTGTGTATGCTCATCTTATTATTATTATTATTATTATTATTATTAATTATTATTATCACCTTTGCACAGCACATCCCGGTTACTGCACCTTGAATGCCTTTACTCTCTCTGCAGTAGGTGCAGCCAGTATGTGTTCTTGCTTGGGGCTCAATGGCCAACAAATTCCACATGAGGTCTTCTAGGAGTTGCAAGGAGTTTTTAACCTACATTTAATGCCAATGCCTCTATATAAGCTACATAAACAGACCACCATTGAGAATATTGGCTTTTTCTATATAGTTATGCTTAATGCCTCCCACCAGGTCAGACTTGGTCAGATTCCCCTTAAAATCAATTAAACAAGGCAGTGGAAACACAACCACTTTTGTCCACAGGGGCCGCCAGAATCAACACAAAATTACAGTTCCTCGTAGGGGCTTAAAATATAAAATTATATTACATAAATTTCATAATCTTCATATTTTTATGATTTTATATATCTTAATATACACTTTTCATAAAAACTAAACTAGACTGGACGCATAAAGTCAATTCATTGTTTCTAAGTCATTAGAGCCCGGCTGATATAATGTTTGGCTGATATTATCAGCCAATATTGGCCTATTTCAGACATAACGTCTCCTGTTGGTATCTGGGTTTCGGTTATGGCCTCACATGAAATTGTCATAGTTTTTTTCCTGCATAAAATGCAGAAACAAATGGTTGTGGTAATATATGGTTGTCACTGCAAAGTCTCAATCAATTATGTTTTTAATAAATACTGTGGTGAGCAGCACAGGTTAAGAGAGAAGAAGCAGCTCTCAGCAATGTCAACTACAATTGGTTGACAATGTGTATGTTAAATTTTTAACACGTTAAAGAATATTTAACTTAAACATTCTTTAATACAGTTATTTGTTTAAGAAAGCAGCTTTCACCTTTGCAGACATTTACATAGAAAAGTTACATTTTCATTCCAACTAAAAAATTCACTATATTAGCCGCCATTACCGATTACCACCATATCGGTATTGGTGTTAAAAATCCCATATCGGTTGGGTTCTATAAGTTATTTTTTATTTTCAGTGATTAGTTGTAAATGACACATTTGCGCATCATACAACTGTTAACTAATAAGCTTTGGGGCAAAATATTAAAGTAGTTTGATTAATCCTTGCTTGCGCCACTAGTGTCACCCTTCAATATCACTTTTAATAAAACAATTCATAGTGCACTCTCAAATATAAGAGGGTAATGGGGGAGGGGTGGCGGCCATAAAATTCTGCTCAGGGCCCCCAAATTGGCTTGCGCTGGCCCTGGCCAAGTGCCCAAAGTGCATAGCACTGAGAAATGGAAGGATTGGATAATGAATCGGACATTTTGTCATTGAACAGACATTGGGCTACAATGAATAAATCATTTCTTGGCAGGTTCAAATTTGTTGTTTACCAGCCCTTGGCAGATGAACCAAAAAGTGTGTAGGGACACATAGAACATGACGGGGGTATTTAGGGGGCACTGTCCCGTCTGGACATTTCCTTCATGAACGGGATCCCTAGAATACATGCAAGAGCACAGACAGAGCCTACTGCCAAGGTCAGTCCTCCTGCTCCTCACTGTCCTGCCGAGCGTCTGTCCTCTTCTCTTTGTGACAGGAGAAAATCCGTCGCATCTCCTCCTCGTACCTGATGAAATTTTCTCCAAATCGAGCCCAGGCTTTTAGGGGAACTGTAATGGTGTTTCTATACGGCTGCCGCACTTCGCTAATTTTTAAAAAGATGCCATACCGGTTTGAGCCGACGTCAAAGTAAAACCTCTTGTTGTCCACCCGGAAGGATGCAGCTTCTGGAAGTTCTGGGTTGTCGTCGTGATTCCTGGATTGGGCTCGGCCGCGGTCGTCGCTCTCTTCGTCGCCGTAGTCTTCGATCAGCTGTGACAGCGCGTCTCTGAACTCGATGAGCCCCTGGGCGGGCAGCACGATGGTCTGCTCGATGCCCTGGCCGTAGTAGCCCATTGTACCGTGTCCTTTGCTGACAGTCTGCCGTATGCGAAGGAACCTGCCTCTCTGGTTCTCCTTCAGGTCAAGAAAGTACTTTCTGTTGTCTCTCTCGATGAACTCGCTCTTGAGAACGCGGTGTGCGTGGTCGTCGGACACCGCAGAGCCGGTGGGAGACAGCGCCGCGTGCTGCTCCTGCGCTCTCCTGCGGGAATCGTGCGCGCGGCCCTGGCCGTTGTTACTGTGCTCATCGAGCTGCGGAGTCGCCAGGCCCCCCCGCAGTCCGATCCGGGCATAATAATCTATGAAGTCTCCCAGGCAGTAGCGTAGAGCGGGAGCCATGGACATAGACAGCGTCAGCTTGCTCTTCCTGATGTTATCATGTCGGCCTCTTCCGATCCACACCTCGGCTATTTTGAGGAAACGTCCGCGCACACTCTGCTTCACATCCAGGTAGAAGCGTTTCTTCTGGATGTCGACGCGTTTGGAGGCTAACTCTTGGATGTCATTGCCCTGCTGCTGTGATCCTGTCTGCACATATTGCTGAGTATATGCGGATCTCGGTAAAGAATCTGATGCAATCTTACCCCTGCCTCTTTCCATCCCTCTGCAACATCCATCAGCCATCATGATTTATATTCCACTGTTACACAGCACCGGACAAAGCGCTTTCCCCATCCCAGTGGGCAAATAATAGACGAATGTATATTCATACAACTGACTGGAGCTACAAACAAGTTAACGAGATGCCTCGAATGACCTAAAAATGGCAGCTAGTGTGGAGTCATCAGCTGATCGAGTTTCTGTGTCCCGAATAAAGGTCAAGCTAGACTATTTATCCATTTCCACTGCAAACTTCCATGCCGTTTTCCATCACCTATTTGCCTTACAGCTTTTGCCGAGGGAGCCAGGGAAGCAGCCAACCTGAAATGGGAGGAGGCGTCCAATACTACATGAACCCGATGAACCCATCCACCCCCCTCCCCGTCCTGAGAATACCTCAGTTAAAGAGACACGATTTACTCTTCAGTGACTGTAGGGGCAGCTGTAGTTTTCACGCAGGATACACTGACTCCATTTGCATCAAGCTCCTCTGCAGCCATTGTTAACTGAAATATTGATTAATGAGAAATGATCAGATCATATGCAGTCCTGGAGTTACTGAATAATGAGCTGATGGTAGAATCCAGGGCAGTAATTATAATGTGTATTGGGGGAAACACCTTCCATTACTCAAAATACCACCCACAATATATTGATATAAAAATATTAATTAATAAATGCTGTTGAATTAAATAAAAAAAAATTGCAAATGACAAATTAAGCTTCAAGCAACGAACGGGCCCTCGCACTCCACGCAACTCGGGGCGTGCTGTGGCCGCGTCACGTGC